TTATTGCTAAGGGTCTCGTTTACCATCTCTGAGTAAATTGTCAAGTAGGATACTTCTTGCTTAAAGTCACGAACGAGTAGCATCGAAACCATGAAACTAACTAAAATACTTCCTACTTCTACTTGCTAAATAGTGTTAATCAGGAAGTAACTACTAAATCGTTACGTTCTGATTGAACTGGCTATTCTATCCAAGCTGGGTCTTCCGTCGAACCGTGTGATTTTATAATTATTTCATAGTTTATCGACGGAAGCGTACGATGAGTCCTTTGTTCTGTTGAATGTCCTGCGACAACCACCGGAGTTACGCTGTCTTGTCTTAGAGGGGCAGAACGATTCGAAATCTAATTGAGGGGGTAAAATTATGACAGGTTATGGTCAATTATCGCAAAAAAGAGATATCTAAAAAGATCCATTTAAATATTATTTTAGTGATTTTTTAATAAATCTTTACTTAATATAAAAATAATTCGCAAAATGCGTTGGTAAGCGCATAACTCAACACCGCTTGGACCGATTTTACCAATTCTTTTTTTAAATGTTCGTAAAAAGTCCAAGGATGGTTTTTACGGCAAGAAAAATCCGGGAAAACCCCGGGCGAGGCGGCCGCAGGCGGAAAGCTAGTAGTTTATAAAAAGGACTAGGTTTAAAATCAAACACCTAATTAATTGATGCATTGAAGGTGAGAACTTTATTTTTTGTTTGAATCTTTTTATGCCCTTTACAGTTTACACACATTATTATTTCATGTAAATACCTAATAATAAGTGCCTAATTAACTATTATTCAACATTAATAGCAACCACGCGCGGTTTTTAGCCCACACCTTTAACAAAGCTAACGTTACAATTGTTACGGCCACTTACAAGATAATGGATACTTCTCATGGCTTTTCAATTATTTCCAATTAATCACTGGATTCAATGCTAGTGAGCAGTGCGAGACACGTTTTTGCCTGTTTGCCCGCCGCGGTTGTAACACTAATATTGGAGTGTACCTAGTAAGAGAAGCGGATACCATACATCATGATTGGAGCACTGTGATGTCACAGTCAAATGTCAGTGTCCAATATAGTCCTCTCTATATTGGAATTCTGAGAGTTTACACCAAAAATAGGGTAGGTTCTTAATGAAGACCCTAGTAGTCCTACTCTACGTGAGCGTTCAAGACGCGACTCTACCATAAGATTTTGTTTTGGCAATGAGGACTGAGGACGATGGTGAATGAATGAACACACTTAATTGACTGATAATTTATTGATTCCATTTTACAGCCAAATTGAAAACTGTCTCGACTAGGTACCCCATTCCAATGTTTCTTACCAAACGCTGCTTCTTCTCTTACAATCCACAGGTCGTCCGTAAAAAATACTATAACATTGAGTGATAACTAATCCTCTTGGACCCTGCAATGATTACCTACAGGATGAATTCAACAAACTGTAATATCGACTCTACAGTGACGCGAAAGTAGTCGTAGAGCGCTAAATCATTCAGCTGCGTTCGCCCCAAACTGATTCATTTACCGCTGCTCGCTGCGCCTCTCAATATACCATCCTTCAGTGTAATGACGTGCTAACAGCAATTTCTGTGTAAATTCAATTGTGTTGCACCTACTTGGCAAATTGCTCCACAATCTCTTTGATCTGCGTTTCACATGGTTTTGCTGAAGCATTCATGATCTACGAATGAGAGAAAGAAACCAAAGAACTGTTCTGTTTTGAATTTTAACCGGTTTTACTATGTGCAGTTTTATTTATTATGGGATTAGGACAGGAAGCCAAAATGTTTTGTTATTCGTTCGTTTCATCAGTTCAATAACATCCACAGCTGGAAAAAGGCCTCCCCTAAGGATTTCTCAACGACCGATTCTGCGCCGCTCGCATCCAGATACCTACTTCCCGCGACCTTCACCAGATCGTCGGACCACTAGCCCACACTGCTATTATAATTGTAAGTAGGCCCTTTTCAGGGCATTTAAACACGTCTCAAATAGCTTGCCCTACACTAAAATTGGAATTCTTTCAGATTTTAGTTAAAGATGTATTAATTTTTAACTGTAGTATCTTAATTACTGTTATTTATTGTGGGGATAAAAAAGGATGAAAAGCAGTCATTGGATAAAATTTTGTTTAAAAAACACTTTATTTTAAGTTAGCTACCATCATTATTGACATATAGGTACCTACATTAACAGGCCAGTCCGCTTGTAAAACGTCGCCAATCAAATAGGAATTCACTTGGCAAAGGTCAACAAATGGAGTGGTCATATAAGAACAAGCACGCCACTACTTGCAGGTCCCATATTAGCATTACGGTTTGGCATAATTACGGTTGTTACAGCGTGTAATGTAATTAAACAAGCTAACACTTATTTGTGTTCCGTCGAAGAAGTCAATTATACCTACTTGACGGTGGTAAAGTTGTATCTGGAATAAACAAACAGGCAATATTTCTTAGGTCCACGTTTGTAGAGGATAGGTACACGAACCTTTTTACTGCTATGAATTAATTGAGTCACTTTCCCAATCGGACCAAAATTAGACCTTAGAAATATTTGATATACCTACACTAAAAAAACATTTATAATTAAAATAAATTATAAGATCCTTTTATACTATGAATACCTTTGCATACTACAAAATCGCATGATTATAATATGCATCTATTTAGATGTCGCAAGATAATTTGGCAAAATTTTTGGGCCCAAAGGTTGACTGGAAGAGAATGCCTCGTGGCATTCAGTTCGCCTTTTGAACTCCAGTACCTATTGTGTTGTGTGCCATAAAATAATTTATGAGTACCTAGTTATATGAAGTGTTTGAGGTAGAGACTGAGGAAATGAGGCAATTATGTAAAGTTGTAAAAGGAGATGATGAGATGCTGTCAACTGTACATTTAAACTTAACCTGCTGCGCTGTTTCTATTTACTTGTTTGTACCTAACTCCAACGTTACGTTACGCTAACGTGGAGCTCACGACACGAGTATCGCGTTCGTTCAAAATTCGCCCTCCATAAAACTCAATGAGTGTCATTCGTTTCGACTCCACGACTTCACCAGTGCGAGGCAGTAATAAAATACAGCACAATTAGAGGTCATAAAACGTTCTCGGTCGCTTAGTGTTAAATGGCGATCGACAAAAAATACCTACCTAATGCTGTAAAATGTATGCTGGATACTTCCTTCTTTTGATAGCTCTTAGTGTAAATTATCTTACCTACTCACTCCAAACGGGAAAACTAAAATTCTGGCAGATTTTGGTTAAACCTACCACCCAACCATCTACAATAATATGCGCTCCCCATAGCTGGGCACCGTTAATCAAATAGTTAACTTCGTTAATCGTTAAACCGTTAATAAAAAAATTAACTTCGTTAAACGTTAAACCGTTACATTTAGCAAGATTTAACGCAAGTTAAAGTTAATCGTTAATCCGTTAACACATTATAATAAAACATAAAAAATAATTGTATGTAAGGTTCAAATAATTTCGAAAGCCGAAAAGCCGACAGGCGTGAGGTCGAGTCTTGTCGTGAGTCCCTAATTGAACGCTTAAATTTGGCCCTTCAGGATGTCTCTGATTGGGGCGATGCCAACCTGGTCCAATTTAACGCGTCAAAAACACAGGCGTGTCTGTTCTCCGCCAAACGAAGTCCATTTCTTATGGCTCCAACATTCCGAGGTGTGCCTGTCAAAATCACCGAGCGACTGCAACTCTTGGGCATTGAAATGTCCAGCAAGCTGAACTTTGGCGAGTACATCGAATCCATAGCGAAAACTGCTGCCAAAAAGCTTGGTATCCTCTCGAGGGCAAGGCAGTACTTCTCCAAGAAGCAAAGGCTGCAGCTTTATAAAGCACAGATCCGACCTTGCATGGAATACTGCTGCCACCTCTGGGACGGCTCTGCCAAGAAACATTTGGCTGCTTTGGATTCGGTGGAAAGGCGTGCCAGAAGACTTATCGACAGCCCTACCCTTGTTGAAGCGGCGCTCCAGGAACTTGACCATCGCCGTAAGGTAGCATCCCTATCGGTTTTCTACAGGCTACACTTCGGAGAATGTGCGAAAGAATTACATGAATTAATTCCACCAGCCCCCTTCCATCATCGGGGAACCAGANGCGCTAACGTGAAGCTCACGACACGAGTATCGCGTTCGTTCAAAATTCGCCCTCCATAAAACTCAATGAGTGTCATTCGTTTCGACTCCACGACTTCACCAGTGCGAGGCAGTTATAAAATACAGCACAATTAGAGGTCATAAAACGTTCTCGGTCGCTTAGTGTTAAATGGCGATCGACAAAAAATACCTACCTAATGCTGTAAAGTGTATGCTGGAAACCTCCTTCTTTTGATAGTTCTTAGCGTAAACTATCTTATCTATGCACTCCAAAAGGAGCCTGGCAGATTTTTGTTCTCTATTTCCAGGAGTTCCAAGACATATCCAGCTAAAATTATTTTATTGAGTATTAAGTAAATAGAACCTAATATTTAAACGGCTATTATGCTTGTAAAACTGTTACCAATGTGCTGGATACTAGAAAATAAACGGGTAATTTATACATTAACGGCGACAAGGAGACACCTCTGCAAAAACCCAAAGTGTATATAAAAGTGATATTTTTGAAACCCTACTTAGTTATCAATACTTATTGCAATTTTAAAATAACTTAAAAAAAAAAAAAGGAATTGCCTAGGTATGTAGGAATCGAACCCACGACCCCGAGACCGTTCTCACCACCTAGGCACCTGAGAAATAGGCAATGCCGTTTTTTTTTCAAGTTATTTTAAAAATTAGTTTGAGATGCGACTCTTAACTTAGATTAAGTTTTTTATTAACTCTTAAAATAACTAGAAATTTTTATGCTATAAAATTACCGTAACAACTTAAGTTTGATATTGCATTGCGAGAAAAGAAAGAATTTTATGATTTGATTTTCTAATAATGTAGAACGGAACGTACAGCTTTGACATCTGTCACATTGACATTCGCTCCGGCTGTCAGTCGCTCAGCTGTGAACTTCATTGGATTTTCAAGCTTTTGTTTATTTTATTTCGGTAAAATGAATATTTAATTCATAAAACGTGTTTCTAAAAAGTTATACTTGTGGTACACAACTCAGTTTTGAAAGTTCTACTGTGATTTTACGTGATATTGTAAGAAATTGTGCCGAAAAACAAACACGCGGGAAGAGGCGTTTTATAGTAAACAAAACAACATAATTCCAAAAATATGTCTGATATAATTGAATTATCGGATGACGATGATAGCTTTATCCTCCCCAAAAAAGCTGAGAAGCTGGAACAGCTATCTGGTGAAGATTCTGTGCTATTAAGTGATGATAATGATGCAGAAGAACGATCATCGAATACTGTCGATTATTTTACTTCTGATGAGGAGTATCTTCCTGAAATTGATTTAAAAAGTAGAAAGAAGAAGGTGCTGAAGCAATTGTTTCCAACGCCGGAGAAGTTACGATGGGACGATGCAGCAGGGCCATCGAAGGTTTCTCCAGTAAAATTGAGGGACCCTGGGTTTGACAAGATGATTGGAGGTGTCACTGTCAATCTGCCGGTTGATCCTTATGGCTGCCAGATAGCACTTATGTCTAAAGTAAGTTTACAGTTAAATCTTGATACAATAGTACAGTAACAATATGCAAAAATTTTGTGCATTATTCTTAAAATCCTTTTTTTAGGTGATAACTGCAATAAAAACAGGCAAAAACTGCCTGTTGGAAAGTCCAACCGGTTCCGGAAAGACACTTGCGTTGCTTTGTGNAATGCAAAAAATTAGTGCATTATTCTTATAATCCTTTTTTTAGGTGATAACTGCAATAAAAACAGGCAAAAACTGCCTGTTGGAAAGTCCAACGGGTTCCGGAAAGACACTGGCTTTGCTTTGTGGAGCGCTAGCGTGGCAGCGACATGAAAGAAGTAAGTGCTATTTTATTTAAATATTTCCCTTTTCCTTAGTCGAATCTTCAAATGATTCGTTCCACCTAAATTGAAGAGCCGATTCCACCTTACTTACCACCTATTATTCAGCTAGTTATTATGATTCTTGGGTTAACTGCTACGATGATCAACCAATGGAGTGCTAAAGATATTTCATCCCAATATTTCACCAGACAATACAAATTGTTATTTAACTAAAATGTAAGAAATATTGTTCTCTGTAACATAGAAGATACAAAACAACAAATAATTTATTTTGTCAATCACCAAAAAAAAATTAAGACTGTGTTATTAGTTAAAACATTCAATTTTTAAAAATCATCAGTTGCCTTCAAAAAACAGTGACATCAAGTTTAAATAAATCTAAACTTTATATTTGGGTCACAGACATTTGTCTAACTAATTGTTTGTGAATATGGACAATGCAAGGCGTGAATTTAGTAGAATAATATTTCATATAACTAGTACTTATTGAGTATTGAGTAATATTGTGCAAACTTAAGACTACAGAAAATTAAAATTAAACCACCTTATGTAGTTGTATTAAGTCCTAATTTGCAACAAAATTAAAGTATGATTTTCTAATGACCGCACAGTGCACATACAAGTGTACCATATTTTATAATCTTACCATATTATTTGAATAAAATAAACTTTTAACCAATCTTGAACTTTAACAAAATAATTTCTCCTGTTCCATACGTAACCAAACTTTTTCCGCTAACATTAGTCACAAATAGCAAAGGAATCATAACACTAACAGCCGAAACATTGCCTGTCGATCGTAACATTTACGGATAGCCGGCAATATGTTCTGCAGCGCCAATTGACGACAAGTGTTCGCGTGCCGCGGCGACAAGCGGCCGCGAATAAATCATGGCGCGACTGTCGCACGACTATCGCCAACAGCCTAACACGAAAATTGCGCTTCACCGATACTGAATGCATTAGTTACATGCAACCGCCGTCACGGAAAAGGCCGTAGCTACGCGTTACGTTCTAATATCTTTATTTGTGGTAAAAACTATGTGAGGATTACAGTTAAGTATACTTTGTCACCAAGGCTGGCTGACCTGTAACTGTTGGCTTAATAAGATAACGATGTCTTCTCCTACAAAGCCCTGACAAATCTATCATATTACTGACAAGTTAACTTGAAATAATACAAAGTATTATACTTCTTACACCTCATCTTAATAGGTGAGATTGAAAAACATTCCCCAAGTTCCAAGTAATCAAAAAGAAAAGTTAATCAACTTAAAGGTTTCTTTAAAATACAGCGGCATTAATTGGCGTCGTTTTTCCTTTTTCGCAGTCTCAAAAAGAAAAGAACTTTTTTCAGGGACACGTGGAAGTATCAAGTTGAAATTGATATCAAATTATCAGGTCTAGTTCTACCAACATGGCTTAAAGATTTTTCTACTACTAACTTAGAAACAAAAGCATGTTTTGAAAGTGTAAGGGAAAATAATTTCCCTTCCATAATTTAGCATACCACCAGAAACCAAGCATTTAACCAAGAAGTATTAATTATTCACTTTATGATTTCCTTGTCTTATAGTGTGTATGAAATGCAACACAAGACTTATCAACGTCATAAAGTTGGAGTTTTTGATTATGCAGACTAAATATTTCACTTCTCACTGCACTGTCATGTCACAAATTGTTTGAAGTATCAAGTTTCTAACATCGACTTTTCCATTGTCCAAAATTGTTTATCACCCGATTGTTCAACTCGACAGCGAATGTTCACATACAAATCTATCCAGTTGGATGGAGCAGTAAGTAATGCAGGTTTACACCAAAACTCGCGCACCCTCGAACACCGTCGTACGCTAAAATATTTCGTCACGAATACCGAGTTCGCCAACTCGATAAATTACGTCATTATATCGACTTGTACGGATATTCGGAACTTGTCGAATTTCGAAATCTATTCGGTGTGCGGGAACGGAAAAGTTGCGAGTTTCACAAGTACAAGGTACCCGGATGAGGGTATTGTGTAACACTCATAAGGTTGCGCGATTCTCGATTGTTGATTTGTTACAATAAATCCCCAACTCGAGAGTGGCCGAAGTTTGGTTACGCAACGTGTTTGCTCTATTTTTTATTTGAATATGATTTTTGAAAAAAGTTTCAGATTCTTTTAATGGTTTCAAATCGAATGTTTCGATACTTTTTAGGGTTTCTCAATACTTTATGTTTCTTTTCTGCCTTTTGCGAAAGAATTCCGATATCGAGATGTAGCTGAAAACAGGCTAATATCTGATATAAGTTTGTACCTCACAGTAATGACTCTACCAATTAATTTAAGCTGAAAAAGTTGCTCCCATTTTGCTTATCAAACTATGACAGAATAATGGCGAGATGTTTTGCGCTAATCGTTCACGCATACAATAGGTGCTTCGTTTTACGATAGATATCGATGGGATCCACATTTAAAGTAATAGCTCATTAAATTGTTCAATTATTTCGCACCCGCCTTTTTTTGTGGACGGTGGCTGGCGATTGCGGCACAATTATAAACCAGCTAAAGGTTAGTGTCCACTATGATCGCGAACCTTGAGTTCCGCGCTCGTTCAAGTGTACATATTTGTGTTTGTCTATAAACGGGCACGACTCGGATCACATGCAACGTTGCAGGGGCGTGGAGCGCTAGAAATTTGCGAACACAGTGGATTGTATACCTTACAATCGTGCAAGACATTCCAGCGCCGTTGACATGTCTGCGACGCTAGAACATATGTTCGTCACGTCGTTTTCTATGATGTATCGCGTAACAACACAATTGCAATGTCGTAATGGTTCGTTGCCGCTGCTGTTAACAAGAAAACATAAAATTTAAAGACGTGTTTACAGAGAACTCACTTTTTAATAATAATGGAATGATGCCATGAATGTCGTACTGGCTGATATAACATGACACAAATATAACCTTAGAAGACCGGAAGTGAAGGATTTTCTCAGACATCCGCCCAATTTTAGGTGCGATACTCTTATAATTCTCGCTCACCACAACTTTTCAGAATTTTCCGTGGTGTCACAATGACGTAGACATTTTTAGTAAGATTAAAAAGAGAAACTAAGCAGATATTTTAATATTAGTCAAATATAATTTCAGTTTAACGTTTCAAAAGTTAGTGTAAGATACTTCGAAACGCTAAGTAGATAATTAAATAGCTATAAACTAGTATTTATGGAAGCACTCCTCATTATCTAAAGCGCCTATCTGCCTAACTTTATAATAACACATAGACACGCGACTTCCGTTAGTCAATACCATTTATTTGCTATAGATTATCGTAAGTTGGGTAAGTAGATAGAATATTAAAATATGGGCCCGCAGTATAAATGTAAATGAAGAAATACTTCCTACTTTCATCATCATTTCAGCCGAGGGCAGTCCACTGTTGGACCTAATCATTCCCAAAGCTCGCCAAAAATCAAGATCATAAGATCTCCCGCTTTTTTATGATTCTTTATACTCTTGGAGGGTTGAGAGCCCATTCCTGTAGTTATTAAACTTATGAAACTAGAATAGAAACAGCATTTAACAGCCTATTTAAAGTACAAAAATGTACCAACTTCTCTAACAGAAACGTTCAAGTAAAATGTTTCAGCTAAGTCGTTTTGTCAGCTACGGCTTCTTTCGCCAACATTAAAAGTTGTCCTTTGAATAACTTCATTCAGCCCCAAAATTGAAATGCTAAGATGACAGCGCGTCAGGGCTGTATTAAGTTTTCACTGAAATGTTTTCGTGATATTTTACGAAACTACAAATCACCGTCAAAGACACAAAAAAATAATGAAATTCACATTTTCCTTGAAGGTTCCGTATGGTTTGTACTAAGCTAATCTGTAGAATGATTACCATTTTGTTCATGTGATTTAAGTCTATAAGATGTTAGAACTGCTGGACTTCTTGAACTGCGTCAAAAAATATGGATTGGAAGCTCAGCAATTTGTTTTTCATCCTATTCTACAAGGATCTCACATAAAAAAGACTTCTTATCATACATAAGTTCGACGTTATCTAACATTCATTTTTAAAGACCATCATCGACTGCATCTTCTTTGCCTCTGGTAAATTCAGTGTTCTTGCTGTGGAGACTACATGACCTGATCATGAATGACCTGAAAATTAATTAATTCTAAGAAATTCTTGGCGTTTTCTTGATTCATGGATTTGGTGATGATACCAGGTTTCCAATATTAAATTAGTCAAAACTAGGAACCCTTAGTAAAATGCTTGGCAAAGAATCATAGTAACTTTCTTTTGTTACGGAACCCTAAAGCGATGCATTTGAAAACTAAAGCAACCGTCAGAACGGTTGGGATCTAATTAAAGTTTGCCGCAAGTCGGCGACTTCTCAGTTTGGTGANCTTTTGTTACGGAACCCTAAAGCGATGCATTTGAAAACTAAAGCAACCGTCAGAACGGTTGGGATCTAATTAAAGTTTGCCGCAAGTCGGCGACTTCTCAGTTTGGTTAGAAACGCCGGCCGCAAAGCATATGGCTGTGGCGGGTGACAGTAACAACTCACCCACTGTTGCTCAAACTTTTGACGCATTGATTTATTATTCATGTATCATACAGTCGTTTGGGTGGATTCCCGAATAACCGAATCTATCAACGTATAGCCAAAAGTAAAGAGTGTAGACAATTAACTAGAAAAGGTACGAGTTTTTTTTTTGTCTTTGGAAATCTCCATCTTCTGTTATTAATTACTTGGTTTAGTAAACACGTGTCACATGTTCATTCATAATGATAAAAAAATAAAGTACTTAAGCGGTTTATAAATGACGGAGTTCTGAATTAAAACAAACCAACTTGATTTTGATCCTCCTCTTTTTTTTCGCGTAAAAATGAGACAATCGTTTTTTTATTGATGAATAAAAGTGTATATCTTTGTCCAAAAGTTTGGCAACTATTGTTCGCTACCATTTTTGGTCACGAAAATTTTCCGCCCAATTTTCCC